GACCAGAAAGAAAATATCTTTAAAAATTCGCCGGGGATTTTTGATCCATCCTGAAATACGTGTTTTCGAGTGCTTTTTAGAAAACCCATAATGGGATTTTTGGGTAAATCTCATTTTTAAGAAAAACTGTCGAACCGATTTTAAAAAAAGTTTCAGATTCGGAATCAGCGCAATTTTTTACGTCGAATGGTATGTCAAACTTGAATTTTTACCAGAAAAATGTTTTTTGCCTTATTTCGCGCCGTTGTGCGTTGTCTGCCCCATGTGGTCACCGCTTCCCAAAACTAACCTCGGCTGTAGAACTGGTTAACCTAGTTCCGGCTTATTTTGACCATGATGACGGGTTCTCCGCCGGTCGGAATGGGATCCCAAGTGCCCGTAAAAGGGTGCTGAAGGGGGCCGCTGTGAATTTTTGGATTCATCCCAAGGATTTCGGTCCGCAGGGGCAGCAAAAGTCATGGAAATCAATCAAATCATGAAGATACAGATTACTAGCTTGAATACAAAATCTTGGCAATGGTTTGAACTTGCGAAATATTTATTTAAGCAAACAGAACACCGCGGACTGTTGATGTTCAAAAGGTAGGCTTAGCAGTCCCCTTTAAGAAAATTTTTCGTTTACGCTGAAATGTTTGTTTGACTTTTTTTATCGATTTGTTTTATTCAAAGGCTACCCCCGATCTTCCACCAAGTTGAGAAAATCTTTGACTCTAAAGACAGTTCCAGTAGAAGTCTAGGACAACAAACGTCTAGACTAAAATTGAAATGTTTTGACAAGGACATGTTTCTGTTATGAAAGTGATTCAAATGATGTATTTGAGCTTTGTTTATGTGATTGTTACTATTTTTGGTGATCTGATGACACAGCTAACAAAATAAACGACTCTGTGTGCACTTTTAGAGGATTTATTAAAACTTTGTTATTGCTTGTAAGTTCGTGAAAAACAACAGCAAATTTGAATGGGGATTTCAGTCGGAATTTCTAGTATAAATGAAGAGATTTCTCTGGATAGATATCAGCTTTGAGTTCGAATATCTTTTTGATTTACTCCAATTCTGTTTCATGTATGAATTTCCAGAAAATGATCTACCGTACCGCCATTCTGTGTCTCGTTTCCCTTGTCATCTGCTTGATCGCCAGCACCGAAGTTGTGAATTCGCCAAAAGGCGCTAAATGTAATTGCCCGTTGTCGAGTGGACCGATCAGTGACAAGGCTTGCGCACTTGATTGGAGTAAGTTCTCAGAGAAGGATAGAATCATCTAAACAATCTAAACTTTAGCTGTTTCGATCATTATCTAAACATTTATAGATATTATCCTAAGCCTAAGCCTAGGCGTAACGAGAGTGATCGGAAATTTTGTAAGCATACTCCCCTTGAATTCCAAAGCACAAGAGCAATCGGGTCTCCCTTAGCTCCGGGAACTGGCTGAGATCCAGAAAATGGGGGTTCAGCCCAAACCCAAATAGACTTAGTGCGAGGCGCTAGCCGCTTAGCCTTCGCACTAAGTCCAAGTCTAAGCCTATGCCTAAGCCTAAGCTCATCTAAACAATCTCCGGCTACAGTATGATTGGCAACAGTACAAGTACGGCAGTATCATATTTACCTTCGACTACAGTATCATAGCTTCAGCTTCAGTACTACCGTATCCCTTTTATCTTTGGCTAAAGCATGTCTAATTACAGTACCATTTTTATTTTTGATTCCAGTAACAGTATCCTTTTATCTTTTCAGCCATAGTATGGCTACTTTACTACCGTATCATTCTTTTTCTCGATTACAGTATCCCGTTCCATTACAGTATCCCACAGTATCATCCCCATTTCATCCTCGAAATTATCTAAACAATAATTATCTAAAGAATCTCCGGCTTCCCAACCGTCCCCATATCTTTAATGCCTGGAATTTCCAGTTTCCCACGCTCGAGTCCTGTCAAAAGCGATGAAAACGATGAATGGAACCAAAGTCACCACTTATCAACTTCATCACCTTAAAGTTTACCGGGTAAATTTCAAAAGTCTAATCGATTTCGAAACCTTATCACCATTTAATTCCCATCGACTTTCAGGGCAACAAAACTCTCCCCAAACTCCTGATGATTCCCGTTGGCCCATGCGCGTTGAACCTTCAAAAGAACAAGGACTATTTGTTGAGTGGTCGGTTTTATTCTAGAATTGTTAGAATTAAAGAATTCTAACTTTTCTGAATCAAAGTTAACCATTTTATTCAATTGCAGGTCTCATTGCCGGCCAAACGCAGTTGATCTCGAGCGAGTGCTTTTCACTGCAAAACACTACAACTCCTGTGTGGAATAAGGTAAGCTACTAGGTTGGTGCAAATGAACTTTCGTTTTTTTAGAAACATTAAAGTCATCCAAAATTTTTTTTGATAACAATTTATTTAAAACAATAAGCACCATTATTATCTATGACATCCCTCCAACGTTGCTACAGATTGCGGATCCTCTTCTCAAAGAACGCTTGATTCTGTGATGCAAAGTAGTTGGTCACCCAATTTTCGACTTCTTTTGCATTCTTAAACTGGCAATTCTCAAGGGAATGTTGCATCGATCTGAAAAGGTGAAAATCGGAGGGTGCTAAGTCTGGACTATACGGCACATGTGGTAAGACCTTCCATCCTAGCTTCTCTAGTTCCTTACAAGAGGTTTTTGCCGTGTGAGCTGGAGCATTATCACGGAGAAAGTTGATAGTTGAGGGATTTAGGCCTTTTTCACGCAAAATTTCGTCAACCTTCTTGAGTTGTTGAATAAAATAAGATGAATCGACTGTTTTTCCGGGCTCTAATAATTCAAAATGAACAAGTCCATTGATATTCCACCAGCAAGACAACATCACTTTGCGCCCATGATAATCCGGCTTTGGAGTTGGAATTGGCGCTTGACCTTTGCTCAGCCATTGTCTTTTTCGAGAAGTATTATCAAAGTGAATCCACTTCTCATCCATCGTCAAGATATTCTCAAAAAAAATGGCTTCTTTTCGACTTCTGGAGCAAGATATGGCTGATCGGAACGCGTGCTCCCAGATTCTCAACACTCAATTGATGTGGAACCCATTGTCCATTACGATTTGTCTTTCCAATTATTTCCAAATGGCGTACAATTGTTGAATTGGAGATGTTTGGCAAGTTCTCGTGTTGTTTGCATTGGATCAGCTTCAATTAATTGTTCCAATTCATTGTTGTCGATGGCTGTGGCACGATGTCCATGCGATTCGTCTTCAAGGGATTCATTACCATCTCGGAATTGGGCAAACCAGAGCTGGCATGATCTTTCGGTGATAACCTGTTCTCCAAAGGCGGAACAGAGATCACGATGTGAATCAGCAGCGTTTTTGCCCATTTTGAAGTCATAGAGAAGACACGTGCGCAGAACATACTTTTGATCCACCATGATCTAAAGCAAAAATCAATTAAAAAGTGAAAGCTCTGACTTTGAAAAAATGCGAAAATAAAGTAAATATCCAAGAGTACAAATGCACAAAAGAACATCAAATAAGCTCTTCAGATTAAAAAAATAAGAACATTTTATATCGACCGAAATTTCTTTTGCACCAACCTAATAAAAGGTCAATATAAGCACGAATTAGATATTAATCAGTTTTCATTAGATATAAGCCATAGATATTATAGCTTTACGGCAATTTCCAGGTTCCAAAAGCGATCAAGACCGCCATCACTAAGCTCACCTGCAAGGGACTCCCCACAATTAAACCAACGTGAGTTTTACGGCTTTTCACATGTAAAAGTGATCTTTGTGAACTGTTTTATAGCGATTTGATTAGATATTTGATAATATTAGATACTATTAGATACTATTAGATATGTAGAGTAAAACAAAAGAAATGTAAAAGCTTAAAAGTATTCATCTCAGTCTCCCCACCGTCACACCGAAGATCCCAATTCGACCATGAAACCCTCCATTCAACATTTAAATGTCTGTTCATTTGTGACAAATAAATTTTGGCATATATGAATTAAAAGAAACGTGAATAGAAATGTTTTTGCAAAAAAACATTGTTGAGAACAGAAAAAAGCAAAAGCAAACAGCAAAATAGATATTTTTCGCACGTTTTTCAATGAAAACCAAGTTTTACAAACAGAAAAACAAAACTTTAGCAAATAAAAAAAACTGTTTATTAGCTGTTATACAACTTTTCGATTAGTTTAGGTTAATGAGGTGTAAAGGAATATTCTTTGCGGAAATCGCCTTCATTCTATTTCGCACCCCAAATCATTTATTGTTTTGTAGCTTGTTAGCTGAATATCTTGTGTTAAAGCCTATCTGGAAAGCTATATAAGGCAACTGTTGTTCATTTGATGCGATTAACTTTTCTCTGTTTTTCCTTTTATCTTGCGAAAGTTGGGTCCTAATTAGGACGAAATTTTTTCTGTTTTTATCGTCGCTTTTAATTCAATTGTCGATTTTGTGTGAAAATTGCTGGAGCCGGAAAACTGCTGGAAGTGAGAGCCAAAAAATTGCGAGTCAGTCGGCTATTGAATAAAGTGTCTTAGTGTCAAGTGAGATCAGATATCTCGAAACAAGAAATAACGTGGCTTGAGTGAAGAGTACCAAGCACGCAAAGAATATTCCTTTACATGATTTTACAGATAGGCTTTAACACAAGATATTCACCTAACAAGCTATAAAACAATAAATGATTTGGGGTGCGAAATAGAATGAAAGCGATTTCCGCAAAGAATATTCCTTTACACCTCATTCACCTAAACTAATCGAAAAGTTGTATAACAGCTAATAAACAGTTTTTTTTATTTGCTAAAGTTTTGTTTTTCTGTTTGTAAAACTTGGTTTTCATTGAAAAACGTGCGAAAAATATCTATTTTGCTGTTTGCTTTTGCTTTTTTCTGTTCTCAACAATGTTTTTTTGCAAAAACATTTCTATTCACGTTTCTTTTAATTCATATATGCCAAAATTTATTTGTCACAAATGAACAGACATTTAAATGTTGAATGGAGGGTTTCATGGTCGAATTGGGATCTTCGGTGTGACGGTGGGGAGACTGAGATGAATACTTTTAAGCTTTTACATTTCTTTTGTTTTACTCTACATATCTAATAGTATCTAATAGTATCTAATATTATCAAATATCTAATCAAATCGCTATAAAACAGTTCACAAAGATCACTTTTACATGTGAAAAGCCGTAAAACTCACGTTGGTTTAATTGTGGGGAGTCCCTTGCAGGTGAGCTTAGTGATGGCGGTCTTGATCGCTTTTGGAACCTGGAAATTGCCGTAAAGCTATGATATCTATGATTTATATCTAGTGAAAACTGCTTAATATCTAATTCATGCTTATATTGGCCTTTTAGCTTACCTTATTCCACACAGGAGTTGTAGTGTTTTGCAGTGAAAAGCACTCGCTCGAGATCAACTGCGTTTTGCCGGCAATGAGACCTGCAATTGAATAAAATGGTTAACTTTGATCCAGAAAAGTTAGAATTCTTTAATTCTAACAATTCTAGAATAAAACCGACCACTCAACAAATAGTCCTTGTTCTTTTGAAGGTTCAACGCGCATGGGCCAACGGGAATCATCAGGAGTTTGGGGAGAGTTTTGTTGCCCTGAAAGTCGATGGGAATTAAATGGTGATAAGGTTTCGAAATCGATTAGACTTTTGAAATTTACCCGGTAAACTTTAAGGTGATGAAGTTGATAAGTGGTGACTTTGGTTCCATTCATCGTTTTCATCGCTTTTGACAGGACTCGAGCGTGGGAAACTGGAAATTCCAGGCATTAAAGATATGGGGACGGTTGGGAAGCCGGAGATTCTTTAGATAATTATTGTTTAGATAATTTCGAGGATGAAATGGGGATGATACTGTGGGATACTGTAATGGAACGAGATACTGTAATCGAGAAAAAGAATGATACGGTAGTAAAGTAGCCATACTATGGCTGAAAAGATAAAAAGGATACTGTTACTGGAATCAAAAATAGAAATGGTACTGTAATTAGACATGCTTTAGCCAAAGATAAAAGGGATACGGTAGTACTGAAGCTGAAGCTATGATACTGTAGTCGAAGGTAAATATGATACTGCCGTACTTGTACTGTGGCCAATCATACTGTAGCCGGAGATTGTTTAGATGGGCTTAGGCTTAGGCATAGGCTTAGACTTGGACTTAGTGCGAAGGCTAGCGGCTAGCGCCTCGCACTAAGTCTATTTGGGTTTGGGCTGAACCCCCATTTTCTGGATCTCAGCCAGTTCCCGGAGCTAAGGGAGACCCGATTGCTCTTGTGCTTTGGAATTCAAGGGGAGTATGCTTACAAAATTTCAGATCACTCTCGTTAAGCTTAGGCTTAGGATAATATCTATAAATGTTTAGATAATGATCGAAACAGCTAAAGTTTAGATTGTTTAGATGATTCTATCCTTCTCTGAGAACTTACTCCAATCAAGTGCGCAAGCCTTGTCACTGATCGGTCCACTCGACAACGGGCAATTACATTTAGCGCCTTTTGGCGAATTCACAACTTCGGTGCTGGCGATCAAGCAGACGACAAGGGAAACGAGACACAGAATGGCGGTACGGTAGATCATTTTCTGGAAATTCATACATGAAACAGAATTGGAGTAAATCAAAAAGATATTCGAACTCAAAGCTGATATCTATCCAGAGAAATCTCTTCATTTATACTAGAAATTCCGACTGAAAACCCCATTCAAATTTGCTGTTGTTTTTCACGAACTTACAAGCAATAACAAAGTTTTAATAAATCCTCTAAAAGTGCACACAGAGTCGTTTATTTTGTTAGCTGTGTCATCAGATCACCAAAAATAGTAACAATCACATAAACAAAGCTCAAATACATCATTTGAATCACTTTCATAACAGAAACATGTCCTTGTCAAAACATTTCAATTTTAGTCTAGACGTTTGTTGTCCTAGACTTCTACTGGAACTGTCTTTAGAGTCAAAGATTTTCTCAACTTGACTCGAATATTTCACCATTCATTTGCTTTCTTAATAATTTTGTTTAGAAATGTTTAGAATTGATTTTTTAATATATTAGGTTGGCAACTTAATAATGACGCGTTTATGGAACAAATCATTTATTTCAAAAAAACACAAAAGAAGAGCTTTCAATTCGAAAGGTATTCTCCATTAGTATCTATGACTTCTTCCCATCTTCTGCGCAAATCCCGGATCCCATCCTCGAAGAACTTTGGAGTTTTTGAGGCGAAGTAGTCATTCACTGCTTTTATGACCTAAGCATGATCATCGAACTTTTCTCCCTCCGAAAAGTGCTTCAGCGACCGAAACAAAAAGTAATCTGAAGGAGCCAGATCAGGTGAATAAGGCGCGCGGGGCAAAACTTTCCAGCCAAGTTCCTTGATTTTCTTATAAGTGATCTTTGCAGTGTGAGGTTTTGCGTTGTCGTGTAAAAATCTGACTCTCTCCGGTTTTAGCCCCAATTTCTTCAAAGACTCGTTAACTCTCATTAATTGCTTCGAATAAAGATCAGCATCGACGGTTTGACCAGGTTTCAGCACTTCATCATGCACCAATCCCTTGAAGTTCCACCAGCAACAGAGCATTACCTTCTTCCCATGGATATCAGGTTTTAGGAGTGGTTTGCGGGGTCTGCCCAGTAGATAGCCATTGATTTTTGCGTTTAACGTTCTCATAGTTGATCCACGTTTCGTCAGAAGTCAAAACCCTGTGAAAAAAGTCGTTTGATTTACATTTTTGTAACAAAATTGAGGCGACATTTTGTTGCTTTGGGTCAGTTCGTGAGGAACCCATTTTCCAACTCGACTCTTTTCCCAAGTTTGTGTAAATAGTTTTTGATTGTCGTATGGGATACTTCAAATATTTCTGCCAACTCACGAACGGTGAGTGTTGGGCAATCTTCAATTAAGGCGAGCAAGTCATCGTCGACCACTTCTGGAGGATGTCCTTGGTGTGGCTCGTCTACGAGGCTTTCATCGCCGCCTTGGAATCTTTGAAACCATCGTTGACATTGCCGAATGTGTATACTTTCCTCCCCAAAAACAGTGATGATCGTGCGATGAGATTCAGCTGGTGATTTTCCTTGTTTAAAATCGTAGAACAATGCAGCTCGAATACGGAATTTTTTGTCCTCCATTTTTTGCCAAAAAGCGAATGATGAAATTTGCAGCACTAAATGTTATTTATGCAGATATCTTTTACTTTGTATATATGCAAAAAAGAGGGAAGAAACGGCGCTTGAAATTACAAAAAACATGTTAAGTAGTGACGCGTCATTATTAAGTTGCCAACCTAATAATAGAGTCGAACTTTGACATAACAAATAGCTCTAGACGAAAAGCTTCGATATAACGAACCCAAAACAAAACAAAAATGCCTCAAATTTTCTGCATAGCTGCCCTGGACGACCACTGTTTGTTGGAGCAGCTAATGCAGAAATTTTAGGCACTTTTTAGAATTTCAAAGTCGTTTTATCGAAGGTAGACTGTTCAGAAAGTGTTTTCCTTTCTTTCTAGACCGAAAAACTTCCCGAATAACCTAATACAAGCAATTTTAAGATCATACTAATTATAAGTTTACTAATTGATAAGTTTAATAAATAAATCTAATAATAACTGATTATCAACTTTGACATAACAAATAGCTCGAGACGAAAAGCTTTCCATCTCAATCAACAAATTTTCAATTAAATTGGCATCTTCATCTCACATGAAGAAACCCGGCGATTGTTTTCGATGAATTTTTTGAAGAATTTCTTCATTTTTCGATTGAGTGGGCCTCCTCGCACGTTCTTCGTCTTGAAAGGAATTCCCAATTTCTGAACTTGGCGAACTGAATTGTGTTTTGAGAAGGAGCTTCTTGACCATAAACGTTTTCGAGATTTTTCTGGGCCACGAACAAAGAAGATCCTTTTTCAACTCGTATAAAATAACGTGTCTCAATCTGGTGGAAGATCTGGGGTAGCCTTTGAATAAAACAAATCGATAAAAAAAGTCAAACGAACATTTCAGCGTAAACGAAAAATTTTCTTAAAGGGGACTGCTAAGCCTACCTTTTTTTTTTTGCTAAGCCTAGCCTATAGAGTCGAACTTTGATATAACAAATAGCTTGGGGATCGAAAGCTTCGATATAACGAACCCAAAACAAAACAAAAATGCCTCAAATTTTCTGCGTGGCTGCCCTGGACGACCACTGTTTGTTGGGGCAGCTAATGCAGAAATTTTAGGCACTTTTTAGAATTTGAAAGTCGTTTTATCGAAGTTCGACTGTATTAGACTGTTCAGAAAGTGTTTTTGTTTCTTTCTAGACCGAAAAACTTCCTGACTAACCTAATACAAACAATTTTAAGATCATACTAATTGACTAATGATAAGTTAATGATAAGTTTACCAATTGATAAGTCTAATAAATCCGAACTTTAGAAAAGAGCTTTAAAATAAACACTTTGTCAACTAGGATCAAACTAAACATTTAGTTTAGGGCTTAGGCTTCTCATTGACTTATCCAGAATCTTGGTAAACCTAGATTTAATCATAGGATTCACTTGGTCAATGGAAGAACAGGTCAATGGATCTGCCACAAGATAAATACAAGGTCAACAACTAAACAAACCTCTTGTAACGTTAAAATTTAAGATTTCCTTCAAATCTGATCTTCTCCATTTCCTCTCATCGGATCAATGTTTCCATTTCAGAAATGGACACTCTCCTTTTTTTTGTGACTTCATTTTGTTCTCAATTTTTACGATTGTTCTTCTCGGATTCTTTTCCGTTTTTTGCTCCTTTTGAAAACGTGTTAGGCTGAAGAGATAACAGATTTAGGCCCATTTCACCGGCATTCTTTCTTTTTTTTCAAAAATCTGTAGATAAAAATTTATTTTTAAAACCGAGAAGAGGCTTTGAAATTCTGCAGAAAATGCAACGAAAATATTTCTGCACTTTTGTTTTAACGATAATCAATGGCTTGAATTTTATGGATAGGAATACGATTGCAGGTCGGTTCATGCTCAGGTTCATGCTCAGGTTCATGCTTAGGCTCATGCTTAGGCTCATGCTTTTCTAGGCAAATCAAATTCATTGCACTCGGTGTCTTTGCATTCAAGCATTGCATAATTCAAAGAATAGAAACGTACTCAAGACGAGAATCCCTTGATTGAATCAATTCGATTGATTCATTCAAACAAAGAATCCTTCTATGATTTTGAGGGGATCTTCTATGCAATGACTTTCTTTATTCTGATTTGGATTAAATCAATTTTCACCTAAACAGTAAATGTAAGTATCTTAAAAAGTGAAAAAGTCTCTCTACATACAATTGATCTTGTCTCTCTACATACAAATCAAAAAAGTCTCTCTACATACAAATCAAATTCATTGCACTCGGTGTCTTTGCATTGAAAAAACCTTTAGAATAATTCAAAGAATAGAAACGTACTCAAGACGAGAACCCCTTCTTTTTGTTGTGTTGTTATGGTAGAATTCATTTCCTTAAGAAGACCAAGCGTGCCTCGCAATTTACTTTACCAAATGTAAACACCACTTTTTCGCACTTTTCAATTGCTTTTTTAAACTTTCAAGCACCAGTAAAGCCCTTTAAAAGCTTTCTTTTCTCCTTAAGTTTCTCCTTAACTTTCTCCTTAATATTCTTCTTAACTTTCTCCTTAATCAATTCATTAATTTCCGAAACTTTCAGGTGTTCTATCTGATATTCAAGATTATTTTGATATCTCTGACACAAATGCCGGTCTCATTCAAACGACATTCTTTTGTTTTTATATGTTCTCTGCTCCACTTTTTGGTTATCTTGGTGATAGGTGAGTGCTAAAGAAAAGAAAGAAGAAAGAAGAAGGAGGAAAGAAGGAAGAAGGGAGAAGAAAGAAGAAAGAATGTATGTACGAATGAAGAAGAAAAGAATTCAATTTTGATTGAGAATCTAGAGAAATCTATAGAAATCTATCTATAGAATTTCAAATTTAGATATAATAGAAAGTACATAATAATTGTTGGAATGATTATATGGAATCTCGCTGTGTTGGGATCGTCGTTTATGCCACGAAATGTAGGTGAGAATTCTCAAGTTAAAGCATAAAGCTTTAAAGAAGTTTCGATTTTATTTTGTTTTACTAGAAGTAAAAGTTTTAGTTTTACTGTTTTACTGTTTTACTATTTTGTTTCACTTTACTTTACCATTTTATAATGTTACTATTAGACTTATCATGACTCAAGAAAGACAACTTTATTAACTTTACGACTTTACAACTTTACTTTACAACAACAATAAATACTATATATAAAAAGAGCAATTTCTGTCTTCCCGTCCGCTTGTACGGGCTTTTTCTCAGCTATTTTTAGGCCGAAATAGGCTTTTTAAAAAGTCTTGAAAGATGGTATATAAGATGTATAAGATGGCTATGTCATTTTAAAAGAAAAATTCAAAAAGTCAGAGTAAGTGGAACTAGGGGGAGTCGAACCCGGATCGAATGGGTTGTAGACAAGCGCGTTCCCGACTAGACCACGGAGACAAGCTAGCCATGGTCCAGAAAAACGCGTTAAAACTTAAGCCCCAAAGAAAAACCAGCGCTTAGACG